AAAAAAAGAAAAAAAGAAAAAAAGAAAAAAAGAAAAAAAGAAAAAAAAAAAAGAGGTATTTTCCCCACTGTATTCATCAGATTGAAGCTACAGCCCGGTTCCAAAAAATTTTTATTATGTTATTAAAAAAGCAAGTAGTGTAACACATACATGAATTCCTAACTGTCAAGAATTTAGAAGTATAGTTTTTAATCAAAATCCAGTTCAGTGAGATAATATTTTCTAGCTCCATAAAAAATTATTAAAGCATTAAACAGGAAATAGAATGCACTTGGTTAACCTGTGGCATCAACAGTTTGAACTATCATTTAGTAACAGCCGTATTATTCAAATCATAGGGGAGACCTATATTCCTGTCCCTACTTCACTATTTGTACATTTTAAAGAAAATACAGGAAAAAAAAAAAAAATCCTTCAAACATCACCAGAAGCTAAGGCTCCTTTTAGCCACCCCTAATCACTCAGACTCATGCTTGCTGTTATAGCTGCTGTCAAGCTCTATTTTCTCTAAGAAATTTTAATGAAGAATCTGAAAATTTTGTAAGAGGAATTGCTCTTCAGAACTGAAAGCTGATAATGCATAATAGCTAGCTGATATTTTTCATAAAGCCTTAAAATGAAATATCCAGGAGCAGATGAAGACACTGGCATTTGACAACAGTTGTCCAGACACATGCAATAATGCAGAACCAATGGAGGTTCATCTCCAACTTCTCAAATCTTTGCAGTATTAAATTAAAGCACTGCGAAGATGAAAATTCACAAAAGTACAAAAATCTGTGTGCTGTGTGGTAAAATGCATAACTTCATGTTTGGCTCATTATCACAGAGCAAAACAAGCTGTACAATTAGAATGTTATGATGGCACCCATGCCTCTTTAAATAACAGTTGTGAGACAGATACCACTCACTGTGATCGAGTTCATGGTTAGAAAGCATCTGGAATTGCAGTTTTACATCCCAGTAATACTACTTAAAGTGTTTGCAAATCCTACTCCTACTATGGTGTGCTATACCAAGCAACAACATACTATCAACTAACAGCATTTTACATACTTTTCAGTTTTATTTTCTGTTTATTTACTATTAATTTATTTACTATTAATTAAAGCCCTGTCTCAAAATACTAAATAAAACCAAATAAAGTAACCTCCTTCACCATATTAATTGCTTTGTGTTTATGTCTACCATAAAAATAATTATATATAACTTTCTAATCAGATAATCTCCCATATGTTATACTTAGATTAGTTCTTCCAGACATGTAAGTATTCTTTCTACATGCATACTTTTTACAGTTCAGTATTAGGCCTTTTTTCTTTTAATACCTACCAAGAGTTTAAAGGAACAAAATATATTTCCTTTTCTTTTAACTGACTTTCTAAATGTACAAATGTATATTCAGATGATAAAAAAAATTTATCAAGCATGACAAGGGAAAAATACATTTCTCTTGCAGTTGTACAAATATAAAAAAAACTGAAATGTAAGAGGTACTTCTACACCACAAGAGGTGCAGAAAATTTACCCACATTAGGGAAAAAATACATTTTTCCCTAATGACAATCTTTACTATGAAGTCATCAGCAATAAGCTAATTATACCATTTACTCTGTGTCTTTATAACAGCTGCCCAGAGTCAAAAGTTGTACATTATAAAAGAAAATGTACTCTTACCATATTAGTTAGTGTTTAATCAAAAAAGGAAGTGAATGCCCTCTTGACTTTTGTAGAGTTGACTCTATCTCCAAAGTAAATCAATCACAATAGATGCATTCACTCCACCACAGATCTCATTCAGGTCTAGTATTATTAGCTTTTCTACAAAGCAGACATAAAGAGCTACTATTATTATTCTTCAAAGGGTGATCTTGCTTTCTAGTCTTAATCCTTAAGAAGTCCAAATGTATGTTCTTTTTAATTGCAATATCTATATATTTTAATATGTTGGCTTCTATGGATCCAATTATTTATCATTAAAAAAAAGACTAAAATGATTCAAAAATACAAAATGTGTTATTTTATTCAGAAAAAATACTTCATTTAAACTTGCTACCTTCAACAGAGCAAGATAGATAATTAAGACTTGCCCAAACTGACAAAGCAGTACAAACATTAAAACTAAATATTCAGAGATCAGAATCTGTAAGTGGCAACACCTGCAGGCTGTTTACTTCATTTATTATTTATTTGTCAGCCATCTGCCCAAAATTCAGCCCAATTCTGCCCAAGTATCTCAGATAATATGATTTCCACCATAATGAAGTCATCACCTTCTACTTAGTTACTGCCTCTTACACCATCCCTTAATCATCTCTGTCACGCAATCTCTGCTACTTGCATACAAAACTTAAAGGCATACAGGTTAGTTTTGCTTTCTGTCTCAGAGATTAACTAGATGCCTGGGAAAGATTTTTATCTAAGCAAGGTCTTCTACACTGAACTCAGAAGGGTTCCTCACTGCTTGAACTCCTTATCTTTTCTCCTCTGGCAAGAAATACACAGAATACTCTTGGAAGCTTAACACTTTTTAAATTATTATTATTTTTTTAAATCTAAATATTTCAGTGAGGAAGGAGGAAGCCTAAATTTAATCAGCATGGGAATGTCTTACTGGTCTACCACTCATACACTGTCATAAAATTGAGCTGAAGTGCTTTTTTAACTGATATCCAGTACATGCCACAAATGCTTCATAACATACATAGCTCTGCTATGAGATGGACTGGGGAAAAGCTGGTGAAGCCCAATTTCCTGGTCACAGAAAAAGGATCACCCGGAGATTCGGGCTGAAGAAGTAGTTATGAAGTGCTGACATGTAATTACATTAATTTCTGTGAAAAGAGATCTACCCTCTCTGTTTCAACAGGTGAGCAAAAAGGAAAAATGAAGATTTACTTCCTCGTAGGAGCTTTAAAGTTTTTCAAATTTTCACCATCTAAGCTCTATCTTCTGTCTTCACTGTTACAAAGAGTGATTATATCTTCAGTTAAATGTTAAGGGAGTTTTGATTACTGACACAATCAGCTGAAAGATTTTCTCTGTTTCATTACAGCTAAGAAAATAATGAGAAAAAATCTGTAGAAGCTTCTTTATCCTCTCCTCTGACTGATTTACCTGCTTTTGACTGTTCTCTATATATTAGTTTTCTTCCGTAAATCTGCAATGAAGTATTATATATGTCACATCTGAGCAAAGATTACTCACTTTTCTCAGAAGTTGTATGCTGCTACCAATGCATTGCAAGCCTGAGGGCCCAGAAATCAAACAAGATCAGCAACAGGTTATAATATTCACCTTTCTATTTGGTCACTCTTTGATATTTAAAGCAAAATAAACTGATTAAGTGAACTAAAGTTGATAGTTTATTTTTCATTAACTTGATAGATACACAGTGCTGCCTCTGTCTAACTTTAAATGTAAAAAGTGGATCCCCTGAGGACTGAAACTCCTACTCAAAATATGTTATTTAGAATACCTTGATATGCTTGTAAAATCTCTGTAGTGGAAAAAAACAAACAAACAAAAAAATGGAACAAAACAAAACACACAAAACCCCAAAACAACAGAACACCAAAACCAAACAAAACTCAACCAACAAAACAAACAAAAACAAAAAATAAACAATACTAATGATAATATAGAATGGCAAAAGCCATAAAACTATAAAACAACATTATTCTAAATTATTTAGTTTTCTTGCCCACTTTTCACATAAAGTTCACAAAGGAAGAAAATTTTGCAGCACAACTGTCCTGCTTGGAAAGAATCCAGAACTGTAGCCACATCAAAGCAAAAGGTAAAAATGAACTTACCTTTCACACCTACTGAGCTGTGTGTTACCTCTAAGACAAGAACATTTACCTAACGACTTCTGAGGGAAAACAGTTCACAAAGTAATAACTATCAGGATGCTGACTGCATGCATTTAAATACCATGAAAAATAAAAGGCAAAGACTGAGTATCTTTACACACTGATCACAAACAACAGTAGTGATCAAAAACAAATGGAAAAATAACATACATTACCATCACATCCACAGCAATTTTATCAATATAAAACTTCTGCTTACGTTTCGGTTCATCATTTGTGACAGCCTGAATGAAGTCATATGGAGTCATATACAGCTGTCCTTCAAATTCTAAACTGGCAAACCTACGAAACCGTTGCTCCCGAGGTGTCGCATAAAGGTGTAAATCTTCAAGGTCTGATCTGTTTTCTGTAACCTTCAAGGACAAAAGGAAACAGTTTAAATGTATCATCTTACAATTACCACCGCCATTTCCCACAAAGAAACTCTAAATTAAAAAATGATAATTTGTTAAGTCAAATCCATCCAATTACTGTTTTCCAGTAAGAGCTTAAGTGAGAATGTCACCACTATCATTTTCACTCTTCCATAATTTTAGCAACTAACTCAAAAAGTCTATGCAACTTAAAATGGCCCTATTAAAATTATTTGTGGTCTCGTATTTCCAAAAGAAAATGAAATACTTTTTAATTGCTTCTTCATGTAGAGCACAGCTGCTGACAGTAATAGGCAAAAAATCTCTGCAACACTCCCCAGTGCAAACCTTCTATGATTACTACTGTTTCAAGTATCCACTGCAGTGAAAGCCACTCACTATTTGTAAACTTGGCAGTACAAAACTTTAAGTGTTCTCAATTGTTACATCTTTATTTGATACTGTCAAAGATTTAAACAGAAAATATGTTACCACTAACTGAAAACTTTCCACAGCTCACAACCTGGCAAGCTCCTATGAAGATTCAAGAACTTGAAGAAAATGCACGTTTCTTAATTTTATTTATGTATTTATTTTAACAGAAATGAAAAATATCAAAACCAAATTGATTCAGAAAAGGACAAGCAATGACACAGGAAACTTCTCCCAGCATGTAAAAAGAAGAATGTAGTGTCTTACCAGTGAAATAACCCATTCTGCCACTGTCACCATTATTCTTGTCATTTCAGACTGTATATCTAAAACACTTCATGTATCAAAATTAGCAAAGAAGAGGCAAATAGTAGCAATAATTTAACTATCTATTTGTCTTTTAACTAAGAAAATATCGAAATGTTTTTTTGTGTTTTTAGAGAACCCTCTCTTAGTTTAAAGCCATTACACTTTTTCTATCACTACGCTTGATAAAGAGTTTCTCTCCATTTCTACTGTAAGCCCCTTTAGGTACTGGAAGGCTGCTCTCTCCCTAGAGGAAACAAACAAACAAACAAACAAGAAAAAAAAAACCACCATCCGATCTCCTACACAGCATGATACACCAACCAAAACAAAAAAAAAACAAAAAAACAAAAAAAAACCCCAACAACCTCAAAGAACTCTCTTCTGACATACCCATTTGCAAGTCAAAACATTCATGTGCTATCTCGCTGTTTGAATATGGTCTTACTGATCCTTCTGCAGTCCAGTGGCATTCAAGCTATGCCTTCATGTGGGATTTACACAACTTAATTGTTTCAGCAGAGTTATAGCAAGATAATTGATTACCCCTGTATTTGAAGGTTAATAATCTATCTTATTTTTGATATATATGTTATTTTATTGCTATCACAAACATGCTTTTGAATAAATGCAGGTTGTAAGCATAAGTAATAAAGCAGTATCTCTGCAAAGCCAGCTTTCAGAGAAGACACTGCTTCAAGGCCATGTTACACGTACAGTACTTGTAATCAATTGTAATCAGCCATAATCAGTCATGCATAATCGGAAGAATCTGCAGATCATGCATCATTCAAGAAACATCACCTCACTTTTTGATGACTGTAAGTACTTGGAGAATATGTTAAAGACATACTTTAACATAACCGGAAGTACTCTATGCTAATATAAACCAACATACTGCAAACATGGAATTAAAACATGCTCAAACTTAATTCATCTAAGTACTCCAAACTCAGTTTTTGCTTCATTTTAGCCGATCTACTTTTTCCCTCTGGCTGTATAGCAATGCAAGTATTTTATGCTCTAGATAAGTGTCACTGTAACTCAATACAAATACTGGCCAGCCACCAAAATGAGCCATACCTCTCAATACTCTGCATGCCTTTGCTCTGGCACTTGTATCCTCTACTTGCTAAGTGTCAAACTGGATAAGGCAATGGATATGTCTGACAAACTTTTGTTTTGGTGGTGCTATCTTTAAACAGATAAATTCCTGGGTCTATCCAACAAGAAGAATATTACTCCCAAAACACAGGAATTTGTAGATTATAGAAAAGAAAATATATGGTTTGGCTGTGACCAGGGGGGCAAAGAGACCAGTAGACCCACGTCCTGTGAAAGGGAGGAGATGGAAAGGAAAAAGGTAGGGAGATGGGCCTGGACAAAGGAAAGTGGCAGCAACAAACTAAAGAAAAAAAAAAAACAACAACAATAACTTATTATATATAGTAGCAGAATGTGAGATAACACAATATAATACCATACTACTGAAATTGAATTTTGTACGCAAAAGAGAGAGAGTTATGAAACCAAAGTCCTTGCTCTAACACTGTTGGCAAAGCAATCAGGGAGCAAAGAGGGAAGTCTCATGACTCCCAGTTCATTTCATCTTTCCCTCCAAACAGAAAATGGAAATGGAAAAATGAAGTCTTCTGGAAGTTGTAGTTCATTCTTCTCTTCTGAGACCAAGAGACCGGAAAGATCAACAATCCACAGGACTACAGCATTAACTCTAATTCCCAGTGCACTGCATGATGTTATGATGTGGAATACTGATAGAAAATCATGAAAGCATGACACCTCTTCCAGCAGCAACCTGCACCTACTCCAGGTCAGCATGATAAGGAAACTACAGCTTCAGTATATTTTTACTCTGAGGAATAAAAACACCAGTATCTTGAGCTTTCTAGTTTCAAAATCAGAACAAACTGTTTATGCTACTGATCTAACATGGACTCAAAAAAAATGTATACAGGGCTTAACTTCCTGTATTAGATCACTGGACTCATATACTAAATGTTCAAGTTAAGCTAAGGCTAAACAGAGTTTGGCTGCAGAAGACCCCAGGTACAAGCCTTAGCTAAGTAAAACCATCTACAGGCATACTATTATTTTTTTCCTCAATTTCCTGTTATCCATTCATGAAACTTATAGCAACTTTGTCTTGCATAGACTCTGTAATTACTCCTTACATGAGTAATTATGAGGTCCTTAATATGCTAATTAAGAAGTCAAGACATTCTAATGTATTACCTCCACCCATATCTTTCTAAGCATTCATTTAAGGAATTCTTCTCAACACAATTACAAAATACGTCCTCAATTCTTCCCAACGTTGGGGAAATCATAATTCAGTGAAGCAAGTATGAGAATTTTAGCAATATAATTTTCTCCCAGTTAATTTATTTCACATTTATGCTCAGGTTAGGCAATCTCATTGTATGCAGCACTACTATCTAATCCAATATACACAAGAACAAGACACAGAAAGCAGACACTGAGTACCTTATGGAAGGTACTGTTGGCAAAGGAGTGAACATCATTCAATAGGATTCCAACTTCTGTTTGAAGTTTCAAGAGCTTATCCAGACTAAAGCTCTCAATAATCACCAACAGTCTTCAAAAACTTTCTTGAAAGTACATATCATTGAGAAACAAAAGAAATTTTTCTATGCTTCTATTTATTAATCCTCTTAGCAGACTTTCCCGGTAAGTACAAGGATCTCATATCATGTTACCTTTGGAAAACTGGACATAGTTATTTCCTTCAAACAGAGTGTCATGCACCTCCCAACAGCAGTAATATCTTTAAAGTAGGAGGTCAGCTCCTGTTTATCTGCACACATATACCAATCTGCTTCACAGAACTAGCAGGAAGAAACAAGAATTTAGCTGACGGCCATTAATTCCCATCCTTCCACCTTCACAAAGGGAATGGACATAATGGGGCAAGAGGGGCCTGATAGCTCTCACAAACAATGCATTATCATCTTCACAATCTCACAAAAACCTATGCACTGAGAGTTGTAATCAAACAGCTCATAGCTCACATCCTTCTGCTTTTCTTCTTTCCAATTCAGCGTCTCATTGCTTGGTATTTGCACTCCCACACCTTATGTTATGCCTTTTCTGAAGCACAGTGCCAATCCAACAGCAGCATTTTGAAGTGCTGCTATGTACAGTCCCAGCTTCCACCTGCCTTCTGCAGAATCAGGACCAGATAGATTACAGCTTAATTTGGCTGATAAGCCAAGGAGGAAAGAAAAAAAAAAAAAAAAAAAAAAGCCAAACAAATTTGCCTTGGCCTAATTTCTTGCTGTTCTCAATATTCCCTTCATATAAAAGTACATCCGCATGCTTACATACACAGAGATATTTAAAAGCACTTCCTAAAATGGATTAAATGACTTTCACACAGACCAGCACCCAACAAAGGATACAATGAAAATCATTTTCCAGAAGTCCATTTTAACATCAATTTAATTTTTATTTACCATGTTTTGATAAGCTGAAGACCAAACTAATTTTGACAAGGTACTTCTCCGAATGGGAGCATCATGCTTCAATTATACATGCCTTCCACTGATGGTCTCTGCTACATATTACAAACAGCATGAAGTATCTGCTAAAGGCATCCAAAGTTTCAAATTCATTATGCAAATGAAAACATGATAACAATGCTGTCTCACTAACATATTTCAAAGACTTCATATAATTCTTAAGATCCATTTTCTAGAAGCGTCACATTTAGAGAAGATAAAGTAAGAGCAATGCCATCACATCTCACAGAGCAGCAGTCCTTGAGAAGATCAGTCTTCATTATGGTCTCCCAACATTCTGAAGTTGATTAGCTTTGAACACACTCCTTGCACCTCTTTTAGAGTAATATCCCTCTGTATTTTCTCCAGTTAATCATAGCAGAAATGTGAGGCAAATCTAGGCTTTCTATCAAGCAAAACTGCTACCTAAAACTCATTCCCATTTTTGGTTCATCTTTCACATACTAACCACCAATAGAGAGCTGACAAACAGCCATGGAAGTCCAGTGCTCTGACCAAAAGTTTCCAGATACTACTCACACTTCCTTAAAGCATGGCTGAATCTCCATTTCTGGTCCCATATCTGCCTTACTGGCTCTCTTACATCAGATCTCTGATCTGTCTGAATTTGGCACAATACGTATTAACCTGTATGACCTAACACTGAAATCCATGCAGTGACTCTGCTGCTGTAAAATGGCCTAATGCAAGACATGAGCTCAC